ATGAGTAGGGCTGTTGTGAACATGTGTGCACAAGTATTTGTCTGAATACCTGTTTATCATCCTTTGGGGTATATACCTAGGAGTGGAACTGCTGCATCACATGATAATACTATCTTTACCTTTTTTTCAAAATATCAAATCTTCTTTAATATCCCTTAGTTAATATTAATCTGAGTGAAGATGAAACTGTTTTCCATTTGCTTTATTTATGGATTTACCTAAGAAAACACTGACAAAATTATTTTGTGCTTAATAAGAATTAGGTAGCCTACAGGTCTGTCCTTGGGTTTCCAGAGAGGTGTTTACTGGTAAAAAACGTAATGCAGGACTACTTTGAATATTTCTGTGTGTCCACTGTGTCATGTCCAAAGAATTTGTGGCATAGAATTTCAATCAACACAGGCAATTCTCTCTTTCCAAGGTAGAGAGAGAATTAGATCAAATTATTCTTTTCCCTTCTCAAATTTCAGTAAAAACCTTTAACAAGATGTAAAGAGTTCGACATCTCTTAGCAACAAGGAAAAGTAGATAGAAACAGAAACAAACAAACAACAACAACAAAAAAACCCAGCATTCTTCAACACAAGTGTACTGTTGGGATTACAACATCTAAAGTTGTGGCCAGTACAAAACAGCTTTTCCTGGACGTTCAAACCTCAGAGGTAACTTCTACATCAGTATCATCACTTAAGGACTTCGAGTCCTTTAGGTCATCATTTTTTTTAACTTTAATAATTTTTTTGTCACTCACTTTCTCTACTTCCTTGACTTGCTTGCTAAATATAAAGAACTTCAACTTTTATTTAATTACTCTGATACTTATTTAGAAAACACAAGTCATCTGTAGTATCTGAAACAATGATAGTACCTATATCTTGAGCCATTACATATAGGTGTATCATCATTTCTTAAATTTCCTAAAAACCCCACCAAGGTTTTTCCTAAAAACCATCCCATTCCTCAAATCCCAGGTCCAGCCTACATGTCTCATCTTGGGTTAAATTTTCTGTTGAATCTTCATCTTCTTAGAATTTCTGTGTTTATGCTCTGAGGTAGAAAGTATGGGGATTATTGCCTTCTTTGGATCTTTTTCTGGAATTGGAACTTTCTTTTGCACTTTGCTTCAGTTGGTCTTCATTTGTAATTCTATGCCAAGAGGGGAAGTCTGAATAACATCTGTAGTAGCAGTGATTCTTCTTAGCATATCATAGAGAGGGTGTGGATCTTTCGCAGAAGCACTGACATCCTAAAAGTTTTCCCAAAAGATCTCCACCACAGTATACCATATATGCTCCTATTGATCATAAACTGCTTTACCATTATATATACTAGCCTAAATATAGTACATTACCTCATTATCAGTGAACATTTCTCCTTGGGTATCTGGTCCCTGCAAAATCTTCAAGAGTGGCAGTTTACTGATGAGTTCTAAAGAGATCATGTAAGCACTATCAGATGTTGAATGCTAGGCAGAAGTGGAATATAATGTCATTTTGGCAGTGAAGAAATTACAGTCTATTGATAAAATTTACAACTGCCCCAAGAGTGGCTCCCTCTCGAGCATGGGGGAGGTGGGTGGCAGTTGTAGGTTCTAAGGCCTTGGCAGCATTTTGAAATCACCTATCTTTAACTTTTTGAGGAACTACCAAAGACATTTTCCAAATGTATTTTCCTTAATGGATGAACTATTTTACATGACTGTCAGCAATGTCCAGTGTTCCAATATTTCTATATCCTTATTAATACTTGTTACTTTCCATTTAAAAATTATTATTAGTGCTATCATAACAGTGTGAAGTGATACTTCATTGTGATTTTGGTTTGCATTTCCCTAAGACCTAAATTCCACAATTTTCCTGTGCTTGTTCGCCATTTGTATATCTTCTTTGGAAAAAATATAATTTTATGAGAACTGTGACAATAAGATTCAATTCGATGCCTCCTGTTTTGGTTAAATTTCTTTTGATTGTATTCCCAGTGTTTGTTCTTATAACAGGAATTGATAAACTGGCCCATGAGCCACATCTAGCCTAATTTTACGTGGCCTGCCAACAGCATGGTTTTTATATTTTTTAATTGTTGGGGGAAAAATCCAAAAGAACATTTCATGATGCATGAAAATTATATGAAATTCAGATTTCAATATATATAAGTAAAATTGTACTGGAATATACAGATATACCCTTTCATTTACACATTGCCTATGACTGCTTTCATGCCAGTGGCAGAGTAATTTTAGGCCTGCAGTGCCTAAAATTAATTACTATCTGGCTCTTTACAAAAATTTACTAATCCTGTATTAAAAGTTCCTCCTTTTTAGCTTCTGATCTTTTCATAGCCCAGAGAGTAATGAGTGGGGAGATCTTAAAATGGATTACTGCTGGTCAGTTTATTTCTCCTGGATGAGCAAACATTTTTTTCTCTTGATAGATAAATTCCAAGGTTAAATTTTTAATAATAGAGACCAAATATGAAAGTCCTAAAGTAGCACTTAAATTTTAACTATTATTATCTCTGAGTATCTCACATTAATAAGATTCCAACTCTCAAAGCAATTATTTGTGGTTAAAATAAGGGAACTTAATAAAATCACTTCTAAAATCTGCCTTGCCCCCCAATTTTGAAATATTGTGATTCTAACATTAACTGTTAGAATTTCATGTTTCTCAGTAGTTGAACAGAAGCATCCCGTATTCTAGAATGTATCTGTGTCCTTCTGTAGCTAAATTATCTTTAAAATTTTTTACTGTTTGTAATGGGGCATTTTCTTATACTTTAAGCTTCCTTTGACTTGGGGAGGTAGGAGTGGGGTGCTGGGAATTGAACTCAGGGCCTCTGTGCTAAGCAATTTATTTACCCTTGAGCTACATCCCTAACCCAACTTTTTTTTTTCTTTTTAATGAGACTTAAAGTTGTTTAAGTATCCAAATTATAGTGGTTTCAATAATGTGTATTTTGTTAGAAGATTGTTAGTCATAGTCACTAACGTGCCTTTTAAGCACATGCTGACTTAAGGAAATGCCTTTTAGATCAAAGATACAAAGAGGTAAAGAATATTAGGCTCTATCATGCCCCTCCAATTTCTATAATTAGTCAAACTGAATGTACCCAAATATTAATCCCATTATGGAAGCTCTCCTTTCTTATGATAGGATATGTAATTTTATAGCTGAGGGAAACTGAATGTTTAAGAGCAAAGTTCAATTCATTTCTTAAAAATGACTTCCCATTTTGTAGTTATTGAGTTATAGATGAGATTTCATTAAGGCAATAGCCTCAAAACCCTAAGGGTGCTTTCAAGTAGAAATGAACATTCCCAAATAAGTAGATGCAGTGCTCTTGTCCCTCAAGGCCTTTCACCTCTCAAGCCAACTTAGCTGCTGTGCTTCCCAAATACTTACCTTCTTTGATGAACATGTAAGGCTCTCTTTTGAGTGAAGACATCAACCTCTAGCAGCACCAGGCTAAAATACAAGTCCTGGATATTTATTGCTTTCTATATACTCCTTGATTGGCAGTTGTTAATGAAAAGCTCATTCTAATAAAGTTACTGTGTTTAAATGTTTGTTATTAGAAGTTGTGGGTCAAGTGCTATTTTAATCTTTTTCAGCCCAGTCATTATAAGAAGTTTGTTGTTGCTGCTGCTGCTGTTCAGTTTACCTCCCCACATGAGATTTATAGTAGCTCTAATAGTTTTTACTTTTATCATTATCAAGAATTTCTACTCTGCTTTCAACCCAGGGTTACAACTGGATTTATTCATATCCCCAAATCTTATTTTAGTATTTTCTATTACCATATGGCCTGTGCTTGTTCTAATATGGAACTGAGGTATTCAGAAATAAGCATAGTTAGATATTGCTTCCAGGTCTTTTAGTCAGCTTTCAAAAACCCTGATGCCCAGGTTGCACTCCATTTCAATTAAATAAAAAAATGTCAGCTATCAGTATTTTTTAAAGATCCCCAAGAGATTCCAGTAGGCAGTAAGGTATGGAAACCACTGGCTTTACTTATTAGCCATATAATAGCTTAGAGGTTCTACCTAGTTATATATTTATTCCTTGGGATTAACTAGGTGTTAATATAATGCATTTTAGCTACTTGAAAAAATATGTTATATAAACATATTATAATTATTGTTACTGTAATTATCTAAACTACAGAGAAACTTGTAGCTCTTCTATATTATAGAAACATGTGCCTGAGCTCAAATTTTTATCCACCCCCTTTTTTGGTCTGGTACTGGGGATTGAACACAGGGATACTGTACCACTGAGCTACATCCTAGCCCTTTTAACTTACTTTTTTTATTATTATTTTTTTTAATTTTGAGACAGTGTCTCATTAAGTCTCCCAGGATGACTTCAAACTTGCAGTTCTTTCTCAGCCTTCTAAGTCCCTGGGATTATGGCATGTGCCATGGTGCCCTTTCATGCTTAAGGAATCATTCTGTCTCTTAATCTCTGTGAGAGCATGACTTCTTTCTTACATACGGTCAGCTAGGTGTTTTTGTAAGAGTTCAGCTGTGTCAGTAAGTGGGAAATTTTTATGGAGGCAATCTACTTGGGAAAAGTAGCAATTACTTAATATTGCTTTTCTGCAGGCATTACCTTTTCATATTTCCACAACCCAGCCAGCTGTTCTTACAGCATGGAAGAAATGAGTTTTATTTATATGCTTTTATTTCACTTTGATTCCTTTCACATTTTCCCTTTCTTTTTCATTTATAATAACAAGACAATTGTATTGAAAAGAGGCTTGGCCTTACCACTGAGAAGGAGGGAAATTTTAACTTTAATCTCTTTGGGTTTACAACTGGGCTGCATCAGTATGCTTTAGAGTTATAGGAATGCTCTAAAATTGTGAGTCTGGGGAGAAAATGTAATTTTAGAGCCAATTCTACAGGTGCAACATAGACAAGTTGTTCTAATCTGAAGACTTGTCTATAGAAGTCTATAGTCTGAGAGGCTGAGAGTGAGTAAATAATCCTTTCTTTTTAGATCTTCATCTGCTGGTGGACGTGGCCTGCAAGCAGGAGCACTTTCCAAAGGAGGAAGAATTAAAAGAGTGAGGAATGGATGACAAATGTGACATTGTGCACTAGCTGTAGCTGGAGGCAGACTAGTCTTGCACATGACACACTGTTGGGATTTTTTCAGTTCTGTTAAGGAAAAAAATATTTTTTGTTTTGTTTATTGAGAATTTTGTTAATTGAAAATTGGGAGTTTGGTATTTACTACAACTGTTCAGTTCAGATTGTTTACCTTGACAAACTACTAAACATCTAGCAGCCTTTTTTTTTTTTTTTTGCTGCCCAGATCCCTTTCAAATGAAAAGTCCTGGCCTTCTGTTACAGTGAAGAAGCATCTAAAAACTGCTGCATCTATGGTACTGGAGCATAATGTGTGCGTGCTGAGTTGTCTTGCCACTCTCAAACGGTAGTCAGCACAACTCCAATGGGGAGTTCAGTCTGTTTCAAGTCACAGTGTGATCCTTTTATAGAAGATTGTGTGAAAAACAAAGACACGTGAGGTCACCGAGATCACAGGTCTAAATGGGTCAGGAATTCCAGGGAAGAAATTCTGGTAAAGAGCTAATTTTCCAAGTGATTAACCAGGAAATTCTCTTACTTCCTAACCTAGCATTCTGTTCCAAGAGCAAGGCATCCGGACTTAGACCATCCATCACACTTAACAGCCCCGATTCTTTTATATTAATGAGAGCATTTTTCTATTTTCATATCTTTCTTTAATTTTAATGATACATTGTCATAAATGATAAGGTTTTGTTAATATCACTTACTTAAATGTCTTCTAAAGAAAAATATTTAAATTGTTTAATGTAATTGTATTCATAAATGCTGGTAGATTTAAAGGTTTTAAAGCTTTATTTTTATTAATATTGCAGGATAGAAGGATAAAGGATGCATATGTAATATTTTTATTTTGAAGGGGAATGTACAATGTGTGAACAAAAACATTAAGAGATTTTACATAGTGTTTTCTTATTTTAGATTTTTATATTCAGCAAGTACAAATCCTCATATATATAAGCTATTGTGTACAAATTCGGGGGAAATCTGATTAGTTGTCATTTACCAGAAGCTGTGCTCCAGTATTTTTTTCTGTATATATCTGGTTTGAGCTTCTAAGAGAATTTTAGATAGTGGGATGGACTATAATCCCCTCTATAGGTTTCTACATTTGAGTAGTAGGATTGTGGGACTGTTATGGAGAAGACATCTTAGATGTCCATATTCTGTGGTTGTTCCTTTATTTGCCTGTCCAATGACAGCAAGAACCTTTCTGATTTAGAGTCTTTTAAATTGACTAGAACTTTTCTGACTATATTATGCCTTAGTTTTCCTAGTAAACAAAAGGAAAGCCTAGGAATATGAAACTAATGAAAAAGGCATTTAGTAGATACTTTGCTAGACATTGTGGATGTAACAGTTCATTTCTTATATTGCATTGTGCCTTTCCAATGATGTCAAGCCCTAGAAGTATTACAGAGATATGGCTCTTTTGGAAAAGGGTGAGCTCTGTATTGGTCTGCAGTGACTCAATTAAGATATGGTAGTAAGTTCTGAAGAGATGTCTGGTTTTTCTGATGTCCATGTTATGGGCATTTATTCATCTTTATTAGCATGGCTTAAAAGATGAACAAATTATCAAGACATCTACATTTTTTAGCCAGGCAGTATATTTTGGCAGAGTACATGAAGAGGAGACCTTATTTCCTAATTAGAGAACTTTGCTTTTCTCTGTCATATTGAAGAGTTGGTGAAATGTCTTAAGTGACACTCCTTCCCTTCAATATGCCTTTCTTAGCTTTATATATGTTGAAAGAGATAATATTATTTGAGGAACATGTGTCAAGCAGGAACCTTGGCATAGATTTGGTTTCAATGGTTTTAAGGCTTAATTAATGAAATGCCTTGATCAGCCTTCCAAACTTTTTTATATATGTATACAACAGACTAAGGAGCTGGATCTCCTGCTATACTCACATGCCTGGTACCTATCAAATAAAGCTATCATCAATGACTTGGGCAAAATGGCAAGAGGTAAAATAAAATCTTCATGTGAATTAGCCAGTAGGGTCTGACACATGCTAACAAGGTTCCTGACTAGCACCTCAGTATTTCAGCACCTTAAGCACGATGAATTTCAGTCAACAATAAAGTGAGTGTTCCAACTAGACTTGTGTCTTGCTTGTTTTTCCTGTTTTATTGGTGATAAATAGAAAACTCCATCATTATAATCATTAATTATTCTAGTAAAATTCAAAATAGAACATACCGTGTTTTAAAATAATCTGTTTTTTTAAAATTATCCTGACTTTTTTTTCCATTTGCACTTGAGTAGAGATTGAATTTAAAAAACTGATATATTTTTTAATACCTTTTAAAAAATTTATTCATTTTTATGTGTTGCTAAGGATCGAACCCAGTGCCTTACACATGGGTTCAAGTGTGAAGTAGGCAAATGCTCTACCACTGAGCCACAACCCCACCCCCTAGAGATTGAATTTTTAAAATGTCATTAAGTATAAGGACAATTCTTAGATATGTTTTAAAGAATTTTAGTTTTCTGGAAAAGGATGAATAGTCTTAAATAAGTTTGGTCAATTCACATAGAAAAGTAGATCCTGAAGGATGATGTCTAAAATGCCTCATGTCTAAAATTAGATTGTAGATGTCAGTGAGACAGACTTTTCATTACCACACAAACACCATCTTTACGACATCTCTGGGAAAGTGTTAAGGTCTATCAGCCTTTGAAGAATAACTTTAACTTTGAAGCCAGGGAATAATTTCTCTTGCTTCTCCATCCTGATGACCTAAATAAACACATGATATCAGTAAAATAAACTTCATAGAGCTGTTTGGCTTGATCCTGCCTATCTCTAGGTCCCCAGTTTCATGATACATATCATCCTCATTTCCAGATATCAAGGTTTCCTCAGAGAAGAGAGTTTGAGGGCACTAGTTACATTTGTAATTTTTTTCAACTGTGTATATTAAACTATTAGATTATTTTCAAGCAGGAAAAAATGAGGCAAAGTCCATTTGTAGGTAATTATTTTAGTTTACTTTTCAAGATGACTTTACATATGTATCAACTTTCAAGATAATTTTGCATATATCAGTGCTATATAATGATGTGCATTTCCAGTATTTATGCTGTATAAGTACATGATGTACATAAAATAAAAAATACACAGTAATAAACTTTTAAATTTTTTCTGTAGCATCCAAACATGGCTGAAGCAGGAGGATCTCAAGTTCAAGCCCAGCCCTAGCAATTTAGTGAGACCCTGTCTCAAGATAAAATTTAAAAAGAGCTAGAGATGTAGCTCAGTGATGGAGCATCCTTGGGTTCAATTCCCAGTACCCCTGGTCAGACACAAACACACACACATACACACACACACACAATTCTCTTCAGAATTAGAGCTCATGCTATTTCTTAGGAAAGGAACTGCCAAATATCTCTATTGCATTATGTTCTTAAGGTCCAAAAAGGAGAGGAAAAGTCTAAATTAAGAATTTATTTTAACTGGGTATGTGGCACACACCTCTAATTCCAGCAACTCTGAAGGCTGAAGCAGGAGGATGGCAAGTTCAAGACCAGCTTCAGCAACTTAGCGAGACCCTGTCTCAGAATAAAAAATTAAAAGGGCTGGAGATGTAACTCAGTGAAAGAGTGCTCTTGGACTCAATCCCTAGTACTAAAAACAAAAATATCTACTTTTTGAATGTACCTCTGTTCCAAACTAGTTATTAGGTCTAAAATTCTGAAACCATTTTCATAAACCTTCTAGCAGAAGAACATGCGAGTTAAATAGGCCACTTACACTTCTTGTTTTTAGAGGCATGTCGTTTAATCTTTATAACAAACCTACAGTGCAATTATTATCCACATTTTATAGATGACTAAACAGGGTCATTTGTATATGAGGTAAAGAATATAAGATTTGTCATAACTTTTTTTAAGTGTATACAGTTCAATAGAGTTAACTGTATTCCCATTGTTGTTGTTGATAAAATTTTGAAAGTTTTTGTCAGCAGTCCAAAAATATAATGTTTGATTACCATCAAATATAATCTGATAAATTTGAAAATTTAAATATTAGAAGCATGTTAGAAACTTTGGCATTATTTCTAATGGCAAGGTTACTATATAAGGGTTATAGTTGATGAATGTGGTAATTAACTGAAAATTAGTGGGTTTTTGCCTACATTCTTCTCATTTAAGCATATTTTACCTTTAGTTTGTATTAATGATAGACTTTCTTGTAATCTTACACTGAGAGCAGAGGTCTGATCTATAGTAGTATTTCACTTTGAAGAGATGCGAGAAGAAAATAACAGTTGGATTCCAGATCTCTGACATCAGCCTGATCTGAAAGCTTCATACAGGCATAGTTTAGACAGAGCTACTGAATTTGAATTAGTAAGAGCGAAGAAAAACTATGCATATAGTGGGCAGAATCCTTCCCTGCTTAGCAGATCTAAGGAGCAACAAATCAGTAAGTACTATAGTATAGGATCACTTTATTCTGGCTTTGTGCCATTTGTAGACACTAAAACCCGGAAAGACCAGAAATCCCTTTGAACTTATATTTGAAAAACCTTGTGTCCATTCTTTTACCTTTTGGAGTTCTTTTATTTTTTCTGTTTATTTCCTCATACCACCGCTTGTTGGGTGCAGAATCTTCTTGGATATGTTCCAGCGGCCTCAGCTTACATGTGGTAACTTGCTTACCCAGAGGAAGGTCTGGAGGACTGAATTGGATGCAGTTGGGTCGTGGCTCACTAGAGGGAGCAGAAGACCCGAGAGAGGAGAGAGGGCGAGAACGTTTCTGGTTAAGTGTGGTGTGTGCGCACCAGGAGGAGGAGGGCCGGGTGGGGGTGGCTGCCTTTAACTGCTCCACCCTCACTTTGTCAGCAGGTAGAGAGCGTGATTGCAGTCCTAGGGGAGGGAGTCAGAAGTAGAACACCAATTACAAACCACAGGCTTCCTGCTCTAGGGAGTTGATCCAGAGTTGTCTTTCTGAAAAGGAAGCACTCGAATCCTTCCGAACTTTCCAAGTCCATCCATGATTCAGAGATATTGCCTTCTCCCTCTGGGATTTTCTGTTTCTGGTAGTGAATTGTTGCTGATATATTTGCTACTTGTGCTTCTTTTCTCTTTCAAGATTTGATTATTTAATGTGCTGTTCGGAGAGAAAAAGAACTTTTGTTAGAAAGGAGATTTCAGAAGTGATTTTGGATCGTCTATAAGTGTTTTTAGAGTTCTTGGGGACTGTAGCTCTCACCCTGGAATAAGTTTCTGCCTTTGATCTGCATGGATTATTTTTTCAGACTGCGGAATATCTCGTCACCTACCTGTAGTATGGGGCACTTGGTTTGGTTGCAGAGTAAGAAGGTGGAAGAATGAGCTGTACTTGGTTAAGCAGTTCAAACCTTTTTTGAGCAGGATCTATAAAAGCATAATTGAATTTGTCACCCCCGTGGATTCCAGTGGGCCCAACAGCACAACAGGTTTGCAGATTTCTTTTGAAATTCTTTTTTTTTTTCTCCCTCTGCCTCAGAAAAAGAAAAAAAAAATCTCTATAGTAGGTTCATATTCAGTTGCTCAGCTTTTCAGCACTTATTTTGAAGACTTTATATGATTTTTAAACTTGACCCTGAAACACAACGGGCTTTGTGGGTGAAGTGCACTTATGTTTACTTAAAGGTGCACATTTAAAAACCTTATTCTGTGTTTATCCAAAGCCCCCAATTCGTATATGTGCTTACAAATAGCACAGATCTACCCAGGCTTCATTGTATTTTTTTCAGGGTGTTCTACTTAAAGCCTGTGACTAATCACCTTCCTAATCCCCCTATCTTTTATTCCCCACCCCCTCAAGGAATTTGAAAACGTGTTAGGAATAGTCCTTTGTTTTTCTTATGAACTTAGAAAATTACGGATTATAAAATCTGGATATTAGTTTACCAAAGCGTCTCATGGGAAATCAAAGTGCTTGGCATTCCCAAGCTGGAGAATAAAATTTGGAATCCCTACGAGAGAAACGAAAATGGAGATAGAAATATGAACTTTAACTGGTAAAGATAGTTGGAAACTATACCCTTTTCATATATTCTAATTTTCAAAGTTAGAAAAGGTGATGTTCAGGATTATCCATAATGTATAAGGATATATAAATTAGCACCTAATTTATAGGCAACTTTAAGAAAACCCCCCAAATTATAGTATGTCCAAGTTTATGAAACATATTTAAATTCAGTGGACCTAGAACTTTGGGCTACAGTGAATTTTTCAGTTAATTCAATTTAATTTTACAGTTAATTTAATTTAATTTTACAGTTAAATTTTTCAATTTAACATGGAAACTTCTCTGTGTGCTGTAGCATCTTTGGACATCCCTCAAGGTGTGGCGTGAATTTTTTTATCATTTTCCGTCTCTTCCCCTATTAAAAAACAAATCTCCTGTGGTCTTTAATTATTTATAGTTGACACATTTTGTGGCTTAAAAGGGCCACTTCTCCATTGTCTAAGCTGGAGTTCTTCACTCTCACCTTTGATGCATGGCCTTAGCTGTTTACTTTGTCTTGTTTTGTTCATCAACATTGGGGTTAGTTGGTCGACAACTTGATGCATATGGAAGACCAATACCAAGTGATCTGACATAATAAAAATTCATAATGTGACGTTCAATTTCAAGCAAAGTTGGAAATTCCAAAAAGAAGTGGTGGTTTCTTTGCTAGTCAGAGTGAAAATGGAAGAAAATGACATGCCTGCTGCAGAAGTGGGCTGAAAACATAGTCTTCTCTGCCCAATCAGGAATGCCACCTGTTCTTGGGAATATACTGTAGAGAAAGGAAGGGTCAAAACTGTGACTTGGCTTTCAGAAACAGAAGCATAAATTTTCTCTTCCTGCATTTGTCTGGATCTGAGAACCTGCACTTGGTGTTAGCCAGTGGAAGCAGTATGTATGGCCGAAGTGCATTGCTGCAGCTGGTAGCATGAGTGGTGGCCACCAGCTGCAGCTGGCTGCCCTCTGGCCCTGGCTGCTGATGGCTACCCTGCAGGCAGGCTTTGGACGCACAGGACTGGTACTGGCAACAGCGGTGGAGTCTGAAAGATCAGCAGAGCAGAAAGCTATTATCAGAGTAATCCCCTTGAAAATGGACCCCACAGGAAAACTGAATCTCACTTTGGAAGGTGTGTTTGCTGGTGTTGCTGAAATAACTCCAGCAGAAGGAAAATTAATGCAGGCAAGTATAATTTTATTATATTTCACTTTCCATCTGTTTGAAACATGCCTTTCTTCTTTTGTCTCCCAAACCAAATACCATACAAGGGCTTCTGCTGCTTAGCTTTCTGTTTGTTTCATCTTTTAAGGATATTGCCTTGTTGGCATTCTAAAGCAAATTATTTTATGCTCAAGAAGAAATACATAAATTCTATATTTTAGAAGGTTATTTGTTTATTTTTAACTGGTATTGCATTGCTTTTTTAGAATCACATAATAAAACCTTCCTTCATAAGTCATATATTCTGGGTACTATTTTTTGATAAATGAAATATATGGGCTTATATTTAATTGATCTGTGGATTATAGTTTACTTCCTGTTAAAAATCTGAATTGAGCACTAAGGAGGTTGATTTTAATGGTCAGCAGCACCCTGAAATTCTAGACTGCCCTTGAAGCATATTTGAATATAGTGTCACTTTTAAAATTCAGTCAAGCTTGAATGGTACGACTGGCTTTATACCACGTGTGGCACCCTATTGCTGCCCAAAATGGAGAGGACTGGATTACAAAATGGACACAAAGTGTAAACCTGTTTCCTGATCCCTTTGGTCTTATCCACACATGATTTTATCATTTTCTAAATTTTATCATCTGTCTTTTTCTTGACCCACAAAGTTTTTCAGACACAGTTGCTTAGGCTTTCGGACTGTGAATTTTGCCTGTAACTCATTCACAACTAACTATTCCTTATGTGTCGAATTTATGAACTGACTGGGGCCATAGCTTTTCATAGCCAATTCTCATTCCCTGTGGTGAAAACAGAGCTTAGTGGGGCTGTACCTTTTTAATGGGCATTCTCTTGTCTTATTCCATAAAATGGTGTTGCTGACTGATAAAAGCATATAATTTTATAAAATGACACTTTTTGCTGTAGCTCTTTGCACACAGGTTAAAGTGTCCTTAAATATGATCAATCTCAGCATCCAGCTCAGATTTTTAATTTTATGATTATGTATGGACTATAAACAGAACCAAAGTATTATATGAATTTAAGTTTTCATTTACTTAGAGAAAGAAGGTAGGAAAACAAAAAAATTATAGAATTCTTTTCCAAACTCAAGTTTTTTAAATATATGGTTTGATAGTTCTTCCTTACACTTCTTTGGCAGTATTTTAAAGCTGGGAAAATTATTTAGAAGAAGAAATGGGTAAAATGGAAGGTCCTAGTATTCAGAAAAATAAACAGGAAAGAAGAGTATATCTGAAAAAAAAGTTGTTAAAATTTTTTGTTTAAAAAGTCAGTCATTTAATTTAGATTCTAGAATGAAACTGGGAATACTTAAAAATTGAAATAAGAAATCATTTAGAATGTAACCATTGGAAAGGAAACTTCCTCACTTTGCCTCCTTAATATCCTGAAGCATGAAGTGTATGCTCAATTTTAACCTTTAGCATAAATAATTTTCTTTAAAGTCACATTTTTGTATCTCTGAAGTCTTGGGAACTTTGTGCCTTATGCCCTTTTGATAGCATGTTCAATTGATTATATACTGCTTAAACTAGTTTTCTCTTTTATTTTAAACTTCTTATCTTCTAATATAATAGAACTCTACATAAAACTTCTGGTTTTTTTAATAAAGGAACAGGTAAATGAGAAGCACCAGTTGGCATTCTGTTTTCTTTCCTTTTTTATTTTATCAATCTTTATATCCTGTCTTATTTTGCCCTTTTTCTACTCCAGCAAATATTACTGATCTTGTTTTTTTTTTTTTTTCTTCTTCTAACTATGACACTCTCAGTATACTTTAAGTATTACAGTATTGCTTCTTTACTTTCTAAGGAGGGAATTTCACTGTATTTTAGCAAGGACCTTCAGATTTTATCCTGGACAGTTATACATCAGCAGCAATTTTAAGTCTTTACCTTTTCTGTCCGTTCTGACCGCTTATGGTCATTAATAAATTTTATGCAATTCTAAAATTAGTCTCTGGACACATTCAGAATTGGTACTGGTTTATTGCATGTTAATCAGTTGTTTAGTACTGGTCCTGGTTTATTGTGCATCAATTTTTAATCCACACCAGTTACTAAATTTTCTTAATTGCCTTTTATGAGAAACTTTATTTTTAAAAAACAGAGAGCAACCTTGTGTATTGTATGCATTGTTTTTTCTTTATCTACCTTTGATTAACTATTTCAAAGAACTCTAGTGTGTTGGGGACACATGGTTTACACTTCCAGAATCTGTGCTATTTGTTCCTTATCAGATTACATGCAACTCAGGTTTACTCAACTGTGGTTAACCAGGCCTTCCATTTAACTGAAGATCCATTTATATCTTCTGCATTTGTGCTTTGTAGCACTTTGGCTTTCTTGATGAATAGCTATACCCTAATGTCACAAATATAAAGATAGTCTTCTATATTGACTTTGAGAAATTTCAGATAATTCTATATATCCTCCTACCTACAAATTATTCTAGCTGCCTGTTAAAATTAGTCATCTCCAAAGACAGGGTCAGATCTTTGTAAAATTGGGGTGTCATGTGCTATAAAACTGAAAGGTATGAAAACAGTAATTTAAAAAAAATAATTTAAAAAAATAATTTTAAAAAGGATAACATTGTGGTTTTGGGACTTCACCGAGAGTTTCTGAAAATCAAACTTTTCTTTACATTTTGCTCAGTTAATTCAGGGTATGTATCTCACAGGGACCAAATTAACTGGATTTTCATTTATATTAAATTTTAACTTTTCTTAGACAAAGACATTGTGCTTCCAATTTAATAATAAAATAGACTGTAGAGGGCTGGGGTTATGGCTCAGTGGTAGAGCGCTTGCCTAACATACATGAGGCACTGGCTTCAATCCGCAGCACCACAAAATAAATAAATAAATACATAAATAAATAAATAGACTGTAGAATTGGCTCTAAAATAATTTGTCTCAACTTTATCTGATGGCTGTACATACAAGAGCATTGAAAGCCAAGAATTGATGAATTTTTGCCCTGATTCTTATCCTTCACCCTGTGTGCTAGGATTTTTCTTTGCCAACAATACTCTCCATTTTATAAGGTATAAGTTTTAAATATTGATATTCTTCTAAAAGTACTAAAATTCAAAATGAAAGAGGAATGTTGCCTTTATTGTATATTTTTCTATTTCTGAATCTTCTCTTTTCCATGCAAAAACTCCCTATCTTAGTCTTAACCAAATTGTGTTAGTAACTATTTTGCCCGAAAGCTTTTTCTTCACTTTACTATATCATTTCAAATCTCTGAGCTGGTTTACTGTTGTTTTTAAAGTGTCTAATTCATAGATTTCCCTTACATTTGCCAAAATCTTTGTTCGTTCCTCTTCTTTAATTTCTTTCTACCTTTCTTTCCTTTTGTTTTCCACTCAATTTGTATATTTAGGATAGCCTTCCCTTGCTAGTATTTCTCTTACTAGTCATCAAAAAAACAGGTCAAGAAAATGTTCCTCATCTCCTACTTTCTTGGTGGTGTCTGATAAAAAGGACTACATGATAGTGATTACAACTGCTTACTATTTTTATATTAATTTGAATATTTTTTTCCTTTTTTATACTGAAGAAGGAAAACATGCTTTGTCTCATTTCCAGTTTTCTGAGTTGTTTACCTCTTACCAATGTTTGTTTCTATTATTTCTAGTAATGTTGCTACAATTTCCAAAAATTGTTGTAGTCATTTATTCTTTATTAAGTATTATTTAGAAGGACAATGCAAAATTAATCTCCTTTCTTCTTAGACTAAAAACAAAGAGGATCCTAGTATAGCCCAACAGAGGTCACCAACTCTGTAACTATCACATTCTTCCTGCTCAGCTGGTTGTCCTGGATTTTCTTAGACTCCAGGATAAAGTTATGATCAAGATTAGAATGTACTGCCCTGAGGCTGGTGACCTACAGTGGGAGCAGGGTGGTTTCACGTTTGGCCAGGAGCAATAAACAACTCCTCCTGGACAAATTCCCCTTTGCAAGATGTCTCTGCTTGCCTCTTAATTTTACTTATTAGTTAATGCATAATTATCACATCTTTGAATTTTTACTTTATTTGTAGTCAGGCCTTGAAACTTTTAAATTAAAATTTTAAATTTTGGGCCAGAGTTAGATAATCCTGTGTAGCAAAGTATAATTGATAAAATGGCTAAACTGCAATTCAAAGTTCTTGACTTTCAGTTCTGACCTAGACATTAAATAGTTGTGTGATTTGTGAAAAAATAGTTTTTACCTTTCTAGGTTTTAGATTCCTTGCATGTGATATTAAGAGATTGAAACCTAATAGCTACCAAACTGATTCTATGTACTCTACATGTTTTAGCTCTCTAGATTTTTATAACTTCATGATAGAAAAAGTTCAGTGCTTTTCATTTCCACATTTTACAGATAAGGAAACTGAGGACTTAAGTGTTAATATTTGCCAAAGCATTAACTAATATTTGCAAGAAAGTGGTATAGCTGCAACTCAAACTGCAGAACCCATGGTTTTCCAGCTCTCAATTTCTGTACATCTAAGAATGTCACAGGTGACTAGAACACCAGAGTAGGTTTTATATAATTAGTTCCAAAGTAGAAAGGAATGAAAGTGATGTGTACCATTGTCTGAGTTGATCCAGAATACACAGCATCCTGCTACCTTCTAAAAATCTCCATTTCTTCTATTTTTTTTTCTCATTTGGTATTTCATTTCCACAGATATGAGCAAATCAGAATCTTTATTCAGTATCTACATTTGATTAACTTTCTCTTCGTTTTAAAACAGCCTACGATGACTACTAAAAGAGGAACTTGAAATAATAAACTCTGAAAATAGCATGTATTTAATTGGCATTGCTCAAGTTAGAGTTCCTTGGATGCAGATTTCAGAGTGATTTTGCAATTTTACTTTGATGCCAGCCTTTAAAAGAAGTATAGAATAAATATTGAAGATATAGTCAACTCACAGTTATGTTAATGGAGGTGCAGAGATTCCAATTAATTGCCAATTGACTTTGGAATG